TCTTCTTCTTCTTCTTCTTCTTCTTCTTCTTCCCTTTGCCAATGTGATGCATTAAATGGAGCCTAGATATTTTAATCTCCATGTTTTGGATATCAGTTGAATATTTTTTTTTCTGTTTCATGGCCATTTGTACTACTTGTTTTAGGAACTTCAAGGTCACTGTCCTTTCCCCATTTCTCTGTCAGAAGGTAGTCTCTTTCTTGTTTGGTACATAGGGCTTGCCATTTGTCTTTTGCCTCGATTCTTGCCTTCTGCTTTCTTCTGCCTGTTTAATCACTGTGAGTGGCACCAGCATCTAGTATAGGCCCCACCAGAAGCCTGCCTGCATGTCACTACCCATAGCCAACGAGCCACCAAGTCCTCTCTGTCCCACTTCCCAAGCAGACCTTACTCCTGCTCACGTTTACCCCTCTCCACTGCCACCACCACCATTTCTCACCTAGACCACAGCACATCCTAACTCTTCTCCCCACATCCTCTTCTCCAATTTTCTCACCACCCAAAAACTGAAGGATTTTTAAGATGAAAATGGGATCATCTCACCGTTAACAGCTGCCTATTTCATGGAAGATCATGTTCAAAGTCCGTCATGTGCCCTAGTGCCTGAGAGGCCGCGACTAGCACACAGTTGTTGGCACTACTTGGGTCTCTGAATACATCCATCTTCCCCCAGTCTCTGCACGTAGCCACATGGCTTCCTTTCAGATCTTCAGATAAGTCACACGTCTTCCCAACCCAAGGTCCTGGGCGTGTTGTGCCCTCTCCATGGGGAGTTGTCTGCTCTCCCTCTACTGGCTAATCCAGATTCACACCCACCCCCCACCCCCAGTCCTCTCAGCTTCATCACCATCTCCTCAGAGAAGACCAACCATCCTCCCTCACCCCTGACTAAGTAGCTTTCTGGCTATTTACTGGGAATGAAGTGGGTAACGGGATGTCCTTAGTCAGCCCTAGTTACTCTGGAACTTGAAAAAGGTACCTGAACTTCCAGGCTCCACCTAGTAGGAGGACTGAGGTTCTGCTGGGTTTCCCACTCTATCTGGATAGACTCTAGGCCTGAGTGGGTCAGGATCTGCAGGGGAAGGGCACCAATGACTCCCAGAGCAGGGCTGGAGAAGGGGGGGCACAGGCACATGCCTCCCTTCAGGAAGTCAGTCCCTCCTGCCCCTGCCCACGAGGTCTCAGGAACCCTGGGCTCCGAGATGCTTCTTGAGTTCTAAGCACCTCCTCTTCGGATGTGGACACTGATCTCAGGAAACTATTGACCCAAGTTACTGTCTATTACCACAAGGTGTCTGAATGAGGAGCAACTCTCCTAGAGGATGTGGTTTGTAGTTTCCAGCTTGGTCATTGTCAGTGAGTAGATATTGTTTTCATGGACTTCAGCTGCTATGTCCTTGAAACCTGCTCACTTTAGCTTTCTTCTGGGTATTTCAGAGTCAAAGATTTTTCCTTTTTCACTTCCTCTTGGTCAGATTTCTTTTTTGTGTGTGAGAATAGGACGGTATGAAGCTATTTAGAATGAGGAAACTGCCCTCTGGACACAGGGCCTTGGCCCAAACAACCTCACAACCCCCCACAGCTTGGCGGAGGAAGAGTGAAATGCCAATGCCTTAACTGGCCTTTGGAAGGCTGGCCGAGTCCTCTTCTGGGCCCCCAACCCAAGTTGACCCCAGTCAGGGAAACTCAAGTTGCTTTCAGAGAGATGTCATTTTCTATGCTGTGTGGCAGAGATAAGGATGGGTTTTATTTATTTACCTAAAAACATGGAAAATCCAATGATTAC